CCTGTCCACCGCTAAAAGCACCTACAATGGGCACGTGAGCATCTGAACTGGACCAGGGAGCAATGAAAGAAGGTGGTCTGGTCTGATGAATCACGTTTTCTTTTACGATGTCTGGATGGCCGGATGCGTGTGCGTTGCTTACCTGGGGAAGAGATGGCACCAGGATGCACGATGGGAAGAAGGCAAGCCGGTGGAGGCAGTGTGATTCTTTGGGCAATGTTCTGCTGGGAAACCTTGGGTTCTGGCATTCATGTGGATGTTACTTTGACATGTACTACTTACCTAAACCTTGTTGCAGACCAAGTACACCCCTTCAGGGCAATGGCCTCTTTCAGCAGGATAATGTGCCTGCCCACACTGCAAAAATTGTTCAGGACTTGTTTGAGGAACATGACAAAGAATTCAAGGTGTTGACTTGGCCTCCAAGGCCGCTAATGCCTTGCTGCCAGATACCACAGCACACCTTCAGAGGTCTTGTGGAGTCCAGGAGTCAGAGCTGTTTTGGCGGCAACAAGGGGGTAATGTTATGGCTGATCGGCATGTGTGTGTGTATGTATATACACACACACACACACACGTCCCGTCCAAAAGTACTGGAATCGCAATGCCAATTCTTCTGTCTTTTGCTATACATGGAAGACATTTGGGTTTGAGATCAAAAGATGCATATGAGATGATAGATCAGAATTTCAGCTTTCACTTCCTGACATTTACATCTAAATGTGTTAAACAACTTAGAACATGGTACCTTTTGTGCCAGACCACCCAATTTTTAGATGAGTCTAAGTATTGGAACAGATAGTCTTAAAGTAAATAACACTTAATATTTGGTTGTATATCCCTTGCTTGCAGAGACTGCATCAATCTGGCGACCCACTGACATCACCAAATTGTTGCATTCTTCTTTTGTGATGCTTTTCCAGGTTTGTACCACACCTTCTTCCAGTTGCTGTTAGTTTTGGAGGTCCTCTTCAGGAGGTGAAATGCTTCTCAATTGGGTTAAGGTCTGCTGATTGACTTGGCCAGTGGGACTTCATTCTGCTGCTACATCATGAGTTACATATTCAATAAAGATTAGTGAGCCCATTCTCATTTTCATCAGCTGTGAAGAAAAACCCAAAAACAACAGTCAGTGACCTCACAAACAACCTCCACAGGGCAGGAGTGAAGGCATTGCAATCCACCGTTCGAAGAAGACTTCCAGAGCAGAAATACAGAGGCCATACCACAAAATGCAATCCACTCATCTGCACTAAGAATCAGAAAGCCAGATTGGAAATCGCAAAGAAATACAGAGATGAGCCACAACATTTCTGGAACCAAGATTAACCTCTACCAAAGTGATGGAAAGGTCAAAATGTGGAGAAGCAAAGGCTCTGCTCATGATCCAAAACATATGACCTCATCAGTCAAGCATGGTGGAGGCAGTGTCATGGCTTGGGCTTGCATGGCTTTTTCTGGAATGGACTCACTAATATTTATTGATGATGTAACTAATGAGGGTAGCAGCAGAATTAATTCAGAAGTCTGCAGAAACATTCTGTCTGCCAATTTACAGAGAAATGCATCCAATCTAATTGGGAGAAACTTCATCATGCAGCAAGATAATGACCCAAAACACAGTCAGCACAACAAACGACTTCGTCAGGGGAAAAAAAGTGGAAGGTTTTAGACTGGCCAAGTCAATCACCAGACCTTAACTCAATTGAGCATGCATTTCACCTCCTGAAGAGGAGACTGAAGGGAGAAAGCCCCGAAACAAACAACAACTGAAAACAACCTAGAAAAGCATCATAAAAGAAGAATGCAACAGTTTGGTGACGTCAGTCACTGGTCACTGGCTTGATACAGTTATTGCAAGCAAAGGATATGCAACAAAATATCAAAGCATTTTAAAGCAAATAACTATCTGTTCCTATACTTTTGAGCACCAAAAAATTGAGTGTGACAAGTCCTAAATTGATTAACACATCTAGATGCAAATATCAGGAAATGAAAGCTAAAATTCTGATCTATAGTCTCATTCACCTTTTAATCTCAAACCCAAATGTCTTCAGTATATGGCAAAAACAAAAGAATTGGCCTTGCCATTTCAGTACTTTTGAAGGGGACTGTATATTTATGTATGTATATATGTATGCATTTTTTTCCTATTTACTTCCATACTGCTGCAGAATGGTGATTAAATTGTGGATGAGTACATGCACATAATTTTTTCCTTTTTTCTTTAGCATTTACGTTTGTGTAGTATTTTTTCTCTTTAGTGTGTATTTTCGACCTCTTTCCTTTTCCTCTTTAATATAAAATTTCTTCCTCTTTTATGTATTTTCAATTTTTTTGTTTCTTACCTAATTGTTTTTTCCTTCTTTTCTTAAATCTAAAGATAAATGAAGAATTTTTTAGTTCATTAATATATATTTATTAACGATGTCGTCAAAAAACTTTGGCTGAAAATGGTTAAAAAAAAAAAAAAAAAAATCCACCGAAAGTGAAAATAGGATGAAAAAATTCCCAACTGCACAGCTGATAATATTATTACTCCCTATTGTACTCGTCTAAAATCTGATATGGTGGAAATGCTTGTTTTCCTGTCTTTTTTTTAGGGTATTGGCTCTGTATGATTAAATAGTTTATTGCAGTTATTTTAAATGATAAACTGTGAGAAGGGAAAAATCAATACTGCACAAGCCCAAAGTTAAGTATCTGGATGCATATTCAGTCTTGGAAATAATGGAGACATCAAAAAGGTAAAGCTGCTGAGACAATAGAAATTCTGATTCGACATGGTAGTGAATTTTTATGGAAACCTTCAGAAGAAAAAAAAAAAAAAAATCAGAAACCTAAGAAAATGCAGTATAACTGAGACCCCAGCTTACAATTACACCCTTTATACACAGTTACACAAATACATAGTGTGTTTATTTATTTATTTTTTTGGACAAATGCTGTCAGCTGAGGTAAGATTTTAGAAAAACAAAAAACCTGTATTTTGATGTTAGATGTGATTAATAACCTTTTAGCTCCCTGCTGGAATATGACAGGGTAAATCCACCTATGCGGAGGATAAAGTCCCACCTCATCATCCTTATCTTTTCATCAATTGTTCACTAGCACCACATGACAGGGTCAAAAAAATATTATGCAATAATATCACACTTTATCTTCAACATCATGCAATTTAAAATTTTAAGTGTTGACATTATAGGCTAGAAAATGTTGTGACCATAACCGAGACAACAAATCAAATATCTGTGGAATACAGAAACATATTGGTGTTATTACAAAGACTCATGGTAAAGTGACCAAATAACAATAGCAATCATTAAGTTTAATCCAGGCAAGTGTAATAGATTGAAACGTAAATTTCGCCAAATAATTAAGGCCACAAAGAGAAGTCATAGCGCACACATTGTGTGCAACAGGACTTTCATGGCAAATGTAAATATGCGCATCTGCTAAACACCATTTTAAACACCAGGCTGTAGGTTTGAATAGCACAGAGCGTACAAACTAGCAGTAAAGAGAAGAACATTATGTACTGGGTTTTGAGAGTAAATAGAGTCAGTGTGATGGGTGAGGGTAGAACTACAGCCTGCAGGAGGGTAAACCTGCACGAACATGTAGGCAAACTTTTAGATGGTGTTCATAGTGCAGGATAAGAAAATTGTTTCTGAGAGTTCAAGTGCAATTAGTGTTACATCTTAAATGATTTTAAAGAAAAAAATAAAACAGATCTGACATTCCTTACCTCTCTGTCACTGGAGGGGGAAGGAGCATCTTGGTGCAGTCCAGGTGATTTACCATGCTTCTCAAGTGCCTTCACCTAGGCAGGGACAATCATACAATCTGGCATAAACATATTAACGCCAAACATGATGTATACACAGAATTGAAATTTACATAATTGTTACTGACTATTGGTGCTGGGACTGAAACCAGCCAGAAACACTAAATCAGATTTGACATATTTTCTGATTTAATCCACTGTCATATTTTCTGCACTGAACGCATGTGACTTCATTGACTAAGCACAGATCTTGCTTGTGAACACTGGACAGAAAATGTCTTAATACACACCGCCATTGTACGTCTGGTGTTTCAAATAACTTGGCAAAAGAGACTTACAAAGAGTAAACTTGTTTACTGTGAGCTATATCAGTAATGGATATAACCCAGAGCTCTGATATCGGTATCATACAGAAAAAGAAAAAAATTGGATATATTCATATCCACTATGTGTATGGTTATATTGGGGTCATTCAAATGACTCTTTGGAACTTGCTTTTTAAAGCAAACACCAAGGATTTCCATATTGAGTCAACATCAAGTAACTTCCTTTAAGAACAGGATTCACTTTAAAGCTCAGTGAATCATAATGATACCACATGTGTGTGTTGATCTGGGAAAACCTGCAGGATGTTGCAGTGACTGAATTCTGGAAAACAGCCAAAAACTACGAAAAAAAAAAAATCACGTCTTGTGCAGAATTGAGATTTTCAGCCAATAAAGTACTTGACTTTAAGAAAACGTACATATATTTTACCAAAACTGTGGAAAAATGTGCAAATGTTTCTATTTAGGCTAATCTCTAGCCTTGCTGTGCAAGAAAAACGTGTTCTTGATATCTGGCGGTGAAACCAGAGTGAAACCAAACCAAACTAGCAAACAAACCAAAAGTACCAATTTCACCTTGATTCAGACTGGGTGAACTGACTACTAGGTGTTCAAGCACCATAAATGTGCTTTTCTCTCATAATGAATGTCAGGTTTTAATCAGTTTGCTGGATAACTATGTGCCATAGCAAAATGGTCAATGGGCTAATCAATTCAGTTTCTTATCAGATAGCAACTGATAGTAAAATAACTGCCATGCTCCAGTCACATTATCATCAAAGCAGAGAAGAGCGCTTGCACACTGTATAGATGACAGTTCAGGAAAAGTCTTTAGATTACATTAGTATATATTTTATATTTTTTATATATATTTTATACTGGCATCTTGCCAGTACTGGGATTTGAACTCAAGACCTTCTGATCGGAAGTCCAACGTCTTAACCACTGAGCTACCACTACCCCTATAGCGTGTACATATACACATATACACATATATATATATATATATATATATATATATATATATATATATATATATATATATATATATATATATATATATATATATATATATATATATATATATATATATATATATATATATACACACACACACACACACACTTCGTCTAATACTAATGTCCAACTTTTGCCACACTTATATGATATGACATAACTGCTGACATTTGTCATTAGGAGCAGTTAGCTTGTCAGGCTGGTTTTTGCTTCGTTTGACATGAGCATCAATATCCCGAGCCTGAGAAATAAAGAGGGGTGTGCTATAAGGAAGTAGAGTTGTGCGTGCGCGGGATTTTGATTGGCTGTTGCAATCCAGTCCTGCGCTCGGATTGGCTAATAGTTCATAATCACAAGCAGTCCGGCGTCGAAATCCGGAATATGTTTTGGAATGTAAGTGAGGAAAATAGCGCTGTTGTAACAATGCAATTGGTCGTAAAAGTACAGATACTAGTAGTAGACTCAACCAAACACCTAAACTAAGTTTTAAAGCACGACTCGTTCCTTTAAATGTCATCTGACAGGCTTCAGGTCAAAACACAGCGTCGCTAGTAACCCTGACCCTGCTAAAGACAACAGCGTATATTCATAAATAAACACGTTTTTCAGCGGTGCTAACTATGATAGACACAGTGCTGTGATTGTGACACAAATGACAGGATAAAGATAAAGTTACTTTGCCGACCAGCTAGCAGTATCAGATGAGTGTTAGCTAAGCTCACTACTAACCTGGGCCTGTTGTGGTGACTGGACATTCCTCTGTGGTGACTGTTCTTCATTAATTTTCTGCTTCAGTTTCTTAAACATGACTGCTAACAGCAGGTGTAACTTCCCAGAGTTTTTATTTTGATTATATTATTGTCTGGACCTGCATCCAGTTTACAGTATCGGTGGCTCTGTTATGTCGTTTCTCATTTCGCAGGTAAGGTGAACACTGCGCAGATGCCGACGTGGAGCAAAAGCAGGCAGCTACGGCATCTCGCGAGGCTCAAACAAAATGGCGAAATGGCAAAGGCGAAAGAAGATGAAGTGGGCTGATGATGGAGTGGCTTGATGTTAGATTTCTGCTCAGAAGTGTTTAGCAAAATCTTTATTACACTAATCAGTAACAATTAGTTTAAAAAATTACAGGAATCATACGAATGTTTTTGATATAGCTAAGTTTGGCGCAGTAGTCTAATAATACATAAATATAAATAAATAAATATAATAACATTTCACATAATTCACAGAAAATTTCTATGTCTAATATGTGGTGGGTTTTTTAAAAAATCCCTAAAAATTCTTATTAAATAAGGGACACAGCCTTATTACAAATTTCATGTCATTACTCATGCAACTGTTCCTTCAGCCAAAAGAGGAATTTAATATTACACCATGACAAACATGAATGATATCTATATAATACTAATACTAATACTACTACTAATAATAATGATAATAATAATTCAAGCTGCAAGCAGCATTTTCGGGGGCCAAGCACCCAGACTCGGTGAGCCGAGCGTTGCCTAAGCAATCACAAATTGAGATTCAAGTATATAGTATATGGAAAACTATATAAAATATCAAAAATCATTTGATAACTTTTATTTGATATCAATCATTTGATAAGTTCTTAAAATTAAATTAGAAAAATGATGTCACAGAAGTTGTCACAGTTTTTGACCACAGGTGGCACAGTCATTAAACTTTCTGGAGACATTAGTGCGAGGTCCTGAGGATCAAGTCTCATGACAATATGCAAATGTCTTACTGAGACATGTTTTTTGCATTTGCCAGCACGTTACAGGAGAACCGTTTTGAATAACTTTGACAATTTTTGTTCAGACAGCTCTCAAGATGATGTGAGCCAAATTTAGTGAAGATTGGACAAAACTTGGAGGAGGAGTAGCGAAAATGGTAGTTAGGTGGAAGCATTTTATCATGTTATTGTAACTTTTGACCAGTAGGTGGCACTGGCAAGAAATTAGTTGCATAGCCTCGGGTCATGGTCCTGAAGACGCCTACCAAGTTTTGTGTCAGTGCACCAAGTCTTTGCTGAGATACAGCCTGTTTGGCGGCTTCACTGTCAGATTTGTTGGCCCATTATGGGCAAACTGTTTGGAATATCAAAATTATGTTCATAAGCTTTGTGAGGCTTACTCTGAAGATGATGTGTGCCAAATTTGGTGATGATAGGACAAAATTTTTAGGAGGAATAGCAAAAAATATTTTTTGAAAAAATCCAAGATTGTGGAAATTGGGCTGAAATTGACGTCATAGGATGCCTTGAACTTGTCTTGACCCAGGGAATCCAGAGATGCCTTTAAATTTTGGACACACGGTTCCAAAGTTATGACCATAAATGCACTTCCAAATTAGGCCCAAATTTGACCCGATGGTGGTGCTAAAGCATTGGCAACACCTAGCCCAAATTTGGTCAGAACGTTCCTTAGACCCTCCCCAATCAACTGTTTACCAGATGGTTCTATGGGCTGCTGTAGACACCCTAGCCAGAAGAAGAAGAAAAAGAAGAAAAGGTAGAATAGCAATAGGGTGCGCACGCACCTTCAGTGCTTGGCCCCCTAATAATAATAATATAGCGCTTTTCTATCACTCAAGGTCGCTGTACAAAAGCACAGACTACAGAGAGAGTAAAGACTAGCAGGCAGAATAAAGTGAAGTGTTAGGAGAAAAGGCAGGGTGAATTTTGTTATATTGGGACATCAGGTAAATTTGAACAGTTTCACTTAGCAGCATTTATTTTCTGGTATGATAAGTGAAAGTTACTTACTAGGCCCTTGCAGTGGAAGTGCATGATAGAAATAACATGACTAAATTTATGTAACATTGTACAAGGGGGTGTGGTCAGCATCAAACAAGAAGATGACCCCAAAATCTTGAGGTGATACATGCTTTGGCATTTTTATTATGATGTTTTATTATAATGTTATATAATTGTCATGACTAATATATTACACATATTTATGATGTACATATCAGACATCGTATTAGTGTCACAAGATAAGAACAAATTTGGTTAAAATCATGAACATATGTTTATAATTTAATCATTTTTATGATGTTCCAAATGACCAGTCATGATTTGTTCATTTGGGATAGCATGGTTCAAGTTAATTGAAACGTTCTTAAAATACAATAAGTGGAGAGAGGAAAAGTGAAGGGATATAATAGATGCATGAATGGATACATGCAACAACCCACAACTATGGGTAAATTATGTATAGACAGATTTTATGTGCATTAAATTGTGTTTTTAGGAAGCAACTTAAGAAGCAGGGGAATAAGGTAAACTGGGAAATAATAAATGTTACTTAGGCCAACTACTAAGTATTTAGAGATTTCTTACGTAGTGTACTGTGTTCATATATTTTTATACATTGATAGAAAATGAAAATAGAAAATGATAGAAAATGTTATTTACCTTTTAGGGATGTTTTTTTGTACTGTAATTTTTACTTATTTGGGTCCTACTTTTGGGTCCGATTTTTAGAAAAGATTAAAGTTCTAAATTTGGAAAATATTGACAATTTACTAAACACTGTCTAAGAATTATAGAAAGTTACTCAGGACATCTTAATATGTGGTCAGTTTTACTCACGCAATACAATATTAGAATATGCTGATGATGAATTTGGAGAAGATTCTTTCAAATCCTGTTACTGAAATTTGATTTATTGATGTCATGGATAAGTGTGCTACAAATAAATAATCTTTAATTTAAACATGTCATTGTTGATGAATGTAAAGGCCTAAAAGGCCTGTCTTAAATTGGAATACACATACAGATACAGTATTTAGAGCACTTAACAGATACAGAATGCATATCTGAATCTTTTTACTGCCCCAAATATCCTTACGTGTATCCATACCTGGTTTTAAACACAAACTGGGTGTGGCTTAAACCAGATTTTTTTTTTTTTTTTTTTTTTGCTTTTTCTTTTAATTATATATGAACCCTACCACTCTGTCCCCAGAAACACTGGAAAAACTGGATAAAAACCCAGAGGTACAAATGTCAGGTACAATCCCAATCTGATGCACACCTCTAGTCTCACCCAGTTGCACTGTGAACCTTTCTGGCAAGCTTTCTTTAAAAAAAGGTTAAAAAAAAAAAAAAGAAAAAAAAATGCATCTGCATACTGTATATCTGTATGTATCCGTTTAGAGCAGATTAACTGTTCATTCCAAATAACATGTTCACATTCGGTTACATCCCTAATACATGTCATAAATTCACTGGCAGTGATAAAATTCTATTAAAGCAAGCTAAAAAAAAAAAATAAAAAAAAAAATCCTGTGTTATAATGAAGAGCCCACTGGTTCCTGTCTGCTCAGCTGGATTGTTGCTGTATGTGCTTTTTTATTACTCTAGATGTCACTGTGATCTATCTGTGCAATCCTGGGCAACAAATGGTTTCCTCTGGCCTGTAATCAGGTACAAATTTATCTGCAAATTAAGTCAGTAGCATCTTTCAGAACAGTATTACTGCATTAAGGAGTTCAGTAGACATTAATGTACATGTTTGTATCAAAAGAATTTACACAATCCCATCTTTTTTTTAAAAAAAAATCTTTTTTTATATATGATCATAGTCTCACTTAGATGATGGCTGCTGGGGCAGGGGAGAGTTGTTCCTACTGGACCAGGATGAATGCTCACGCTGATTTAACTGATGCTGACATTAGTAAAAATCCTTTGGCTGACTCACGATTGATTGTTGGTCTCGTGGGCATCACACGTCTGTCAGGTTGCAAGGCAGTGTCTAACCATCATTCAAGTTTTCTTTATTTTCTCTTTTTTTCAGTCACTCTCCGATGGTACTATTGTCAATACCTTCACCGTGTAATTCTGTTTCATTTATGCTACTATATCTCACACCCTGGCGCAATTTCTTGTCTTTTATTATCACTTTTAAATTTAAATTATTGCAATTTCTACAG